GTCTGCGGGCACGGGTTCGATCTGCGAGCGCATGGGAACTCAGGAAGTGGCAGCGGGCCTGCCTGTTTCTCACCGACGCTGGGTATGTTTTTTATTTTTGACTTTTCATAACCAAGCACGTGCTTTTTAAGGGAGGGGGGGGGGGAAGAGGCTTCAACCCTTAACTGGCACATCTTGTGGTGGTACGGGACCCAGGCCCTCCTCGGCCCCCAGTTACCGGCCCGTTCTACATCCAGAGCATGCGGGTCATGGTCGTACCCGGCCGGCTGGGCCGTTTGTCTCCGTCTGCACAAGTGCTTGGCAGCGTTGTGGTTATTTAGTCGCCTGTGAACTGCAGGAAGTTCTGAGGTGGTGAAGGATGTCGCCTTTTATTCTGTTCCGTGGTCCCGGCCTAAGCAATGTTCCATACAGTGAAGCAGTGCTTTGGGAGAAAGTCTAGAGACTGCTGGGGGTGACTCTGCCCCCCATCCTGCCATCTCTGCTTCCGTGGGCTTCCGTCGTAAGGCGGGAGCCACTTTTGAAAGTAAACCACGTGCCGACCTTTCAGGAAATGACCGGATCTTTTTCCCCCCCACCTATGAATCAGCCCTCATGTCACTCTTGTTTGACTCTCTGAAGGTGTGGCCAGCTACATTTGGCAGGGTCGGCGTTCTGGGGTTCGGGAGGGAGGATATAACTGACCCCCGTAGGCGATGTCAGTCGCGGAATGTGACAGGCCTGCCTTTTGGAAGCGGCCTGCCCCTGTCAAACTGTGCAGTCAAACTCTACCCGCGAGCTGCTAGCAAGGGAGCTGGGCGTCGGCCTTCGGGGCCGGAGCGGCGCCCTCTGCAGTGTCGAGACCGTATTGCGTGAAATGAGTGGAATCGGTGGCCTGTTCCAGTGAAGGGGTCTGCAAAGCTGATGCTGATGTAAGTGAGGATGATGCCGTTCAATGTTGCCTTTGCAAACACCCGCCATTACAGACAGTGGGGAAATCGATCTTCTCTCTGGCTGCCCCCCCCCCCAAGCCCTTCCAGTATCTAAGGAGTACATTACTGCAAATATTATACACTCAGTCGCCATTTTATTAGGGACTCCTATATAGCAGTAGGACCCTATTCGTCTCCAGAGCCACTTGAAGTGAAGAAGTGTTCACAGAAGCCATTGATGCGCTGAGCTGTTATTTCTGCACCTGAGGTCTTGCTGTTGGTTTTAACAAGTCTGGCCATTGTCCTTTAATCTCTCCTCATGGCGCTTTCAGCCACAGAAATGCTGCTGACTGATTTTTGGTGTTTGTTGTTTTTGTTTATGAGGACAATCCCTGTAAACCCTAGACACTGTCGTATTTGAAAATCCCAGGATGGTCTGTCAGATGCTGGAACCGCCACATCTGGCACCAACGATCATGTCACATTCAGAATCGCTTAGATCGGGTTTCTCAGCTGCTCTGATGCTTAACCACACAGTCGCTGAGCCTCTGCACCCCATCTGTTTGCTGTATGTGTCCAGTCGCAGCCACACGATTCGCTGTCTGGGGGAGCATGCTGTTTGCATTAGCAAGCAAGTCTACCTAATAAAGTGGCCACAGTACAAACCCTCCTCCTCCAATCGCATTGGCGCATGCCAAGGTTGAGCAGAAGGAGAGCCAGTCCTGTGGCCTGCTGGGATGTGGCATGACCCGCCCCCTGAACTTGCTGTGTAACGTCCCAGCCAAGTGCCCTTGGTCAAACCACCAGAGTCCACCACCTACCAAGGAGCACATCCCATGGAACTGGAGCAGACAGAACCCCCCCCCCCCGACCCGATACAGTCCTTCCGTCCCTTTTAGGATAGTGTGTTTCAGACCCATTTGCAGGGAGGTGACCTCAGAAGACTGTCCTGATTTCCGCCGGGATGGGGATGGGAATTGGGGGAGGGGGGGGCTTCGTGTTTGGCAACTCCCGTTAATATTTACTCCACTTTGCCTGCCAAATTATCCCCCTTTCAGTGACACAGAGAGGCCACTGTTTGGCTGCCCCCCCCCCTTCCTTGCCAGTGCTAGTTGAAGAACAGAATTTGTTTTTTGTTAATTTTCATGAGTAAACTGTTCATCTGAATCCAACCAGAACAAACGGAATTAGCCACAGGAATTCATTTATCTGTCCGCGGCCGGTAACCTACAGGAGGCTTACCGGGGGGGTGCATGGAGTGAGTGAGGGGGGGGGGGCATGGGACAGTGGGTGACCGAGACAGGGAGCGTGTGAAATAGAGCGGTAGGAAATTAGTGTGAGAAAGATGTAAATGCTTATTAACATTTAAACCTCCAAAATATACCTAAGTAGCTGAGAGAGAGAGAGAGAGAGAGAGAGAGAGAGAGAGTGTGAGAGAGTGTGAGAGTGAGAGTGAGTTGTAGCATCCCGGAGTAAGTGAGGCCACGGGACTGATGGTTTAATCGAATCTGCGCACATATTTCCTGAGATTAACAAACACAGATGGACTTGAAAGCCTTTTTTTAATTTCTTTCTCCCCCCTTCTTCTCCGAGTCCGCCCAGTCTCCCGTCCCTATTTCTCGGTGGGGCCCCATCTTGGCAGTGCTGCAAAGGGCCTTATGATGAGAGATGGGGGAGAACCACAGGGCAGGCATAGGGGCAGAGCGATTCGGAGCCCGTGCTCCCACACCCTTTAATGGGGCCTTGCTGGTCACAGGTAGCCCCCCTCTAACCAGATCACGTCACGGCTGCTGCCCCCTTGATAAAGGCTTTCACGCGTCACCCTCTGGTGCCTGCAGGTCCCCTGGGTACCAAATGGGCCCTCCTGCGTGTTCCTGTCCCTGCCATGCGTCTCCCACAGCGCTGCGGCGTTCCTGTCACGGCTGCCGTATCTGGGCTCCTCGTGTCCTCATCTTTTGCCCCAGTCTCCTCGGCTCTGGTCCCCTCTATTTGTGGGTCCCATTGATTTGCGGAGGCTTTGAGGATCCGGCTCGTTCGGTTCTCAGTCCTGCTGCGTCGGGGTTAATTTGCATGGCGGTCCTCTAGCCGTCGGTTCCTTTCACGGTGGCCCGTGATTGCGGTCTTTCTGCATGGCGGTCTGGCTTTTGGAAACCCCCTTTTCTGTCCATTGCTTTGATAAGAGAGCTTCCTCGTTAAGTCTCGGCAGTGACGTACCTTGCATAATTTTACGTATTCAAGTGCCCCGTCAAGTACCAGAATCTGCCAGGGTATCCATGTCCCTCCAACACCCTGGGTGTCAGAATTAATACGCAGAATGTGTCCTCAAACAAAATGGCCCTGCAGAAATCTGCATAAACTAAAAATGCTCTGTTTTGTTGCATGTCGATTATTTTATTAGCTTATTCCTGGACGCTACTTTAACGTCTTTCTATTACTGATGTCCTGCTACCTCACCACACTTTCCAGCTTCCAGCAGCAGCACATCTTACGTGCCCCCCCCCCCCCCCCCATGTCGAAGGAGACTGCCCGCAGATCCTAGGCGTTCAGCAAATTGCGACTCCCGCCATCACCGGCGTCCTCCGAGGACGGCATCTCGGATCCTCCTCGTAGTCTTGGCAACGGCAGGATCTCTATACTGTAAAACCCGTGAGCTGGAGTCCGCGTTGACTCACGCTCACCGGCGTGGATGTAAACTCCCCGCTGGCTATCCTGCGATAATGTTACCGCTGCTCGTTTAGCTCCCAGAGTGCCGTGCGTAGACGCTGTCATCCAAGAAAATGCTGGAATGTTGTCTTTTTTGCTGCTGTGGAAAAGTACTTGGAAGGTATTCAGTTCGATGTTCTGCTTTAGCGTTTAAGTAAATGGAGTTAAATATTCGAGATTTGTATTTCAGAAAGGGTGCTGACATTCATTGTATGTGTGGGAAGTGCATGGTATCTGGTACAGAATATTTTGAGATTTGTGTCCCTGTGTTGTCGATTTGTGCTCCTCCATGTTTTTTTTTTCGAGCTACAATGTTGTCACTGCGATGCCTTCGAAGTCCGCGTTCACCACCCTCTCTCCCCCGTGCCCCTACAGGTGGCGTTGGCATCGCCGCCACCCAGCTGTGCAAGACTGTGAATGACGTGACCGTGTTCGGCACGGCGTCCGCCAGCAAGCACGAGGTCATCACCCAAGTTGGGGTCACCCACCCCATCGACTACCGCACGCGGGACTACGTGGAAGAAGTCCGCAAGATCAGCCCCAAAGGTCGACGTCATATTTCAAGAATTTTGTTGAAATGCCCCAGTGCCCCCTAGGAGTGGTTTGTTTGGTGCTTGTTTGTGTACTTATTTGATTTAATCTTCCCATCTGCGTTCAGACACTCCCAAAAAAATGACACAAGCGCAAAAACAGGGGAGGAGACGCATCAATGACGTTGTTTTTGGCACCTTGTCGCTTTCATTTCAACACTAAACCTTACTGCTAGTATCTCACTTCGTGTCCAAGAGAGAAGCTTGCAGGCCCAACCCAGCCTTTATTAAATTTCATCGCTAAGTGTTGCTTTTGTGTAGAAACGACCCGTTAGAGCCTGCCTGCGCTGCCCTGGGTTTTGAGGCAGCCGGAGAAAGTCCGACGGGATCGATGAATCCAGTGAACGGAGCCGGTCGATAGAGGCGTCGCCGGCTTTTATAACGAAACACAAGGCGCGAAGAATCTCGTTGCGGTAGCAGCTGGCCGAATGCAGATCCCTGGGGAGGTGGCGTGAGATGAACCAGCACCACACTGGAGCCGTGGAGCCAATAGAGCGAGGGCACTGCCTGGGTAGGACAGTCGGTCAAGGTTGCTGGGCGGCGCCATCGCGGGCAGAGACGCAGGCGCGTCTGCCAGACATGGCTAATGCCTGATTTATTCCTCATCGTGAAAGAGTCCATTAGGACCCCGACATCCATTGTAACTGGTTTGGTAACCGGTCCTCCCCAGAAGGGCATAAAACATGGCAACTCCCCCATAAGAGAAAATTGCGATTTAACGCTGATTTATGTTTCACCTTGAGTACCAAAGGACACGTCCGTCTACCTGGGGTGCAGCATGGGGCTCCAGTTCTTGTTTTTTTATTTTTCCCAGTCTGAACAATTTATATTCGCAGTGCTGAGGAGGATCGGGTTCCTGTTAATCCCTTGTGTATGTGCTGTGTCTTTGTTTGTTCTCTGCTTGTCTTATGTGGGTCTGATGTTTCCTCCCACAGTTCAAAACCGTTCAGTCTCTAAACTGCGTCTCCAAACGTCCTGAGAGGGACTGACACCCTGTCCACAGTGTCCCCCCCCATGCCCTGCGGCTTGCACTTCCTGAGAGATCCTCATCCTGACCTTGTGCTCCTCCTCTTGTTGGGCAGAACAGGAGTGCAATGCCGAGAATTGGGATGGAAGCCGAATCGATTATTCCTTAATTCTTCATTTGCTCTCTGCTCAGGGGTGGACATCGTCCTTGACCCCCTGGGAGGATCGGACACCCACAAGGGATACAACCTGCTAAAGCCAATGGGAAAGCTCGTCACCTATGGTAAGGATGGTCGCACCCCCCGCCCGCCACACGAAGCCCAGTAGAGGTGGCAGACCAGAGGCTGGAGGCCACTAGGGTAAGAGACAATGAGGCATTACGGCTAGAGACCAGAAGGACGTAGGGTCTGTAGTATCATAAGTAGTGTTTGCCTTCCCTCAAGGGCGCCCCCTGTTGGCAACAAACAATCAGTACACTTTGGTGGGCCCTGAAGTGATTTGGGCCTCAGAAACAACGGACCGGTCCTAACAGCAATTTTTTTTTCCCCCCCTCGGTTGAAACCTTGAAAATGGCACTTAAGCTCCAGCGCAGAACCTGCGCATTTACATTCGGCGGCTAGATCTGCCTAAAATCCCCAGCGCGTTCGCCGCGCCCCGGAATGTCGATGCGCTGACGCTCCCTGACCTCACATTCACTCTCGCGGCGGCCGTGGGACGGCTCGCGGCGAAGGGCGTCCAACCAAAACTCGCATGTGTGCTGCGGTGGGCAGCGGCGGTATGCATGCGGAATATGACTGCTGCCCGGATTGAGGAAAATAGCTCCCCATAATGCCCCTCTCCAACCTCTGCCTCAGCCGCCCTCCCGCCTGCATTTTTATCACAAGTATGCACTGGCGAACAATGGCCGTTCTATCCCAGTAGACCTGGAATGTGTCTGACTGTAGCAGACTGGTTCTTCTGCAGCTCGCTGGACTCTGTAAGCTGTCTTTGTTTGTGGTCGAGGTTCGGTAGAGAGGGGTGGGTGACGGGGACAGGGCAGCTAACGACGTAGAGAGGGTGGGAGTAGAAGTACGGGTGAGGAATAAGAGGGACGGGGGCAAGACATGTCAAGGAGGAGGGGGGTGTGAGAGAGCATTGGGGTGGCTGCATTAAACCCCTTTTGTTAATCTACATGATTTCCTGTGTACTGCATCCAGAGGACATGGTGTAACACTCACCTCGGACAGATAACCAGCCCTTTGTGTCATGAATAACTTGCACCCTCTTACGCCTTCAAGAGATGTTTGCATTCCCATTTGTATTCCTGCAGAGCTAAGACTCGAAGTCGAGGAAAAAATGAAATGTTATGACGTGCAGCTAGCCTGGGGGTGGCGCTCTTGTGGAGCAGTTGTAATACACGTAATATATGCGGCCCTAGGTTTTTCGACCGTTGGGTGGAGTGGGCAAAGCCTTTTAACGCCTTGATCTCCCTTGTGGACAGGTGCCGCCAATGTGCTGACGGGTCCGAAGAAGAACCTGTTTGCCATGGCGAAGACCTGGTACAACCACTTCTCGGTCAACGTGCAGAGCCTGATGAACAGCAACAAGGCAGTGTGTGGCTACCATTTGGGCTACCTGGATGGGGACATGGAGATCCTGTGGCAGGTGGCCAATAAGCTGCTAGACCTGTACCGTCAGGGCAAGATCAAGCCCCGCCTGGACTCCACCTGGCACTTTGAGCAGGTGGGGGCTGCCGTGTGTTGGTGGGGGTTTTTTTTTTGCTGTCATGTACGTCTGTTGAAGAAAGATCTGAATAGATGTCCATTCCTTAGGCTACCTGTGATTTTTTTTTTGTTGATCGATATCAGTGATGATTATTATAAGTGTGTGTGTGTGTGTGGGGGGGGGGGGGTATGTATATATTACATTGTGGGGACCAAATGTCTCCACACAAAAAAAAACTGTTATTTTGACATTTGTGATTTTTGATCCCCATAAGGGGAAACTTAATTTTGTAAAATCTGTCAGTGCAATCAAAAAAAAACTAAATATGTCAAAAGTCTCGTATTTTGTTTGGCTACTTATGGTTGGGGTTAGGGTTGTCTGTGTTGGGATTAGGGTTATGCCTACAGAAACGAATGGACGGTCCCCACAAAGACAGGACAGGAATACAAACGTGTGTGTGTGTGTGCTTGTTGTGGTGTTGAGGCTGCAGACCATTAAAGGATAGTTAGCTTTGTTCGGGGGGGTGTGCAGTAAGGACCTCAGCTGATGGTGTTTGGATATGTGTGAAAATGCTCATTTCCATAGCAGGCCTTTGGTGTGTCTGGTGGAGCCCAGCTCGGCCCATTGGGGTAAAGCAGGCCTTTGGTGTGTCTGGTGGAGCCCAGCTCGGCCCATCGTGGTAAAGCAGGCCTTTGCATTTCCCCGTGTAGGTGGCCTCCTTGGGGAGGGTGGCCTTCCGCTGGGGGGGGGGACCGCTGTAAATCATGCGCTCGTGCTCAGTCGCCGTAAGTCTTCCCGGTGGTACCTCTGCAGACCCCTCAATGCTCTCGTGTCCTCGGTGATGGGTCGAGCCGGGTCTGCCGGCAGAAGGGCACAGCGCCGAGAAGAGGCGGAGCGAGCACGGGGGGGGGGGAGGGGGTATAAACCGGTGTCTGCAAC